TTCCCCTCCACGAAGGGGGTGTGGTGGAAGTTGATGGCAGGCGACTTCCTCTCCCTCTCCTAGGACAGAGAGTGGAAGGCTGGGCACGCGGGCGCCCCCTCCCCCCTGGGAGGGCCGTGCTGGGGCCGTCCAGGGAGCACGGTGAACACAGAGAGGACACCGAACATGGTCAACATGGTGTTTGTGAAAACGGAGCCCCGGCTGCCCCAGCAGCGACTGAACCCTCCTTGGACCTGCCCAGTGGATGGTCCTATGCTGATGCTGACGTGAGCAGTGAGCTTCCAGCCCAGATGGGCCCTGGGGACCCCGCTCTGTGCCCCGCGCCTGCCAAGAGGCTGAGTAGCCCCCACCCCAGTGCCGAGGTGCTCCTCCGTCATGGGTCCCAGGAGGCTGGAGGCTCAGGAACAGTGTCCCCCATGGGTCTGACCTCAGTGAGCCCTGAGGACAGAGGACAGTGGCTGCGGCTGCACCGTCCTCACCCAGGACCACATGCAGGAGCCCCGGGGGTGGCCATTCCGTGTATGTGGAGTGGCCATGCAGCTTTCCTGCCACCCCAGGGAGGTGGACAGGAGGGCCCCCAGGGGCAGCTCCATCTGGACTCAACCCGCTTCCTCCACGGGCAAGTGGGGGCCCAGTTCCCGCACTTTAGGTATGCGAGGACGCCAGGAAACCAGACGGGTGGCGATGCTGGTGCCAGAACACACCAAGCCAAGCTGGGTCGCAGTGTCATAGGAGAGGGTGTTCATTCTTGCCATCGAGGGTCTCGACCACCTCGTGACCAGGTGCCCTGAGGGACCAGGACGGAGAGGGAGGCCCGGGAGCTGTTTGCAGACACTCCTGTTTTGTTCATTTCATTTCGGTTTTGCATTTGTCTTCTTCCATGCCGGCAAGTGACAGGGCTGGACTCACAGCCCAGGACGGCACCAGCTCTGGGGCAACAGCACTGTGCCCCCTCCACTCACACCCGCACCAGCGCCCATGCCTGTGTCCACGCCCGCAGCCCACCTCCAGCTCCAAGATCCGGAACTCCAGCAGCTCGTTTTGGTCTTTCGCATCCTGGACCTCGTGTTTTAACCGAGCCTCTTCTGTCTCCATTTGTTTAATCTGTAAAAGACGGGCAAGACGCTGGAGCTCACACGAGGTGAACTCCCCAGCTTCCGCTGGCCATCCGTGGGGACCACTCCCTGGCCCAGGTCCTCAGCTCAGAGCCCTCACTCAGTCTGAGCTGCATGGGGCTGTCCTAGTGAGACTGGGTCGGGTGGGGGATGCAGGCGCTGTGGGAAGGGAGCCCTGAAGCTGAGGAAGCAGCCCTGAGCCTGCCCAGCTGTCTGAGCAAAGATGGGGAAGCCAAGGGGCCCACGGTGGGCAGAGGCCAGGACAGTGCTCCTTAGAACCCAGGCTGGTCCAGGGCCTGAGAACACTGTGTCTGATGCAGCTGGGGGCTGGGTCTGCCTGCGGCGCTGTGTGTCACTCTGCATAGCTGGGCCCCTAGGAAGCACCCACAGGCCATGAATGTGACCCTGTGGCCACCGTGCCAGAGAAATGCACAGGCTTTAAGTGTGCACTTGAGTGTTTAAGTGTGCGAACAAGGGCTTATGTGCACACACGAGCATTTTAGTGTGCCCATAAGTTTATGTGTGCCTGTGTTATGTGTACAGGTGAGCATTTAAGTGGCACGTGAGTGTGTAAGTGTTCGTGTGTGCTTGGGAAGGTTTAAGTGTGCATGTGTTCAAGGGCATATGCAAGAGTTTGCATGTGTGCATGAGGATTTAAGTCTGCACACGTGTTTATGTGCACATGTGAGTGTTTAATCGTGCATGTGAACATTTATATGTGCACTCAAGTATTGGCATGTGTGTGTGTGCATTTAAGTGTGGGAGGGAGTGTTTTGTGTGCACATGAGCATTTGTGTGCAAGGGTGTTTGTGTGCACCACGGAGACAGCTGTGCTGATTTAAGATTTGTGTGGGGGCCCACGGGAAGCGTGCAGGTGTTGCTCACCACTGAAGGTGTGAACAGCACCCCAAGCATGGCCCTGTGTGGGCCTGACAGCTCCAGGTGGGGCAGGTCCGGCCCTTGGCCCCAGGGCCTGGAGTGGAGCCGCTGGTCTGTGCAGGCGCGGGGGCTGCAGCCAGCCTGGCTCCTCTTTGGAAAGGCTGTGCCCCTGAGCCATCCCCCAGGAATGAGAAGCACAGACGGCCCAGCTGGGGGCCGTGGGGAGCCTTTGCCCAAGCCCCAGCACCCTGCGTCGAGGGGCCCCGCACATCCCTGAGTGCGGAGGAACCCCTGCTTTTCTCAGGAAGCAGCCAGACTCCGGGATGGCCTGGGGCGGGCGTACCTTCTCGATGAGCTCTTGGTTTCTCCGGTACAACGCCTGCTTCTCTTCAATCCACTTCATATCCTTGAAAAGGGGACAGAATTGGAGACATAAATGCACTGCGGGGTAAAATGCGACACCAACATTCAGATCACCTTTCGGCGCAACAGAGGACTTGCTGGAAGAACTCCACACCCCGCTTCCGGAGGGACCACTGAGTCGCGGCTTCCGTCTCGCAGCAGTGAAAACCTAGGATTTCACTCGTTTTCTTGGAGGGTCCCAGATAGAGGTGGACGGCCCCCCAGGCTCGTGCTAGCCCAGGCCAGGTGCCTGTGTGGACGTCACAGGTCCGGGGACCCCAACACGCAGCCAGGGGGCTCAGGCGGGTGGGGAGGGGGCAGGTGACCACTTCCCACTCAGGGTGCGTGGATGGCGGCAGGCTTCGAGCTCTGGTGGGAAGTGTGTGGGTGCCCCGCTGAGCCTGCCTCCGGGTCAGGCCTTGGTGGAAGTCCAGTGTCCCCAGGCACCCGCTTCCAGATCGAAGCCCTGGTTCTCCCTCCACCACTGGCATTCTGTCACAAAGTAAGGTGTCTCAGACACTGAACTTGGTCCCAAGTGTCTTCTCAGGCAAGTCATCTGGGAAGTTCTTTCCCAGTTTGAAAGACTGGTTTTTGCAATGAAAGGAACCGGCTCCCTCTTCCTCGTCCTGCTTCCCTGCCGCCTGGGCTGCTCTTCTTCCTCGGGACGAACAGTGCAGTGGCGACATCAGACAGGCCCGGAATTTCCCCTCCGAGTCCGGGTCTGTGGAGGCCGCGTGCACACCGCACCAGACCCTGCGGCTTGGCGGCGGGGGCGGGGGGCGGGGTGCAGGCCAGTCCTGTGTGTTCCAGGTGAACGGGCTGCAGGTGCCTCAGCACTGAATCCGGGGCTTCTCCTGTCTATCTGTCCAGCCGTCCACCTAGCAGTCTGCACACCAGGACCTCTGTGGCTCCGCTCTGCACTTTCCGACCAGGCCCTCTCAACCTCCCGGATGTCCTCCAGCTGCGTCCTGGGCCCACCTGGAGCTGTGCTGTCCAGCAGGTTGGGGGGGTACTCAGGCCCCATGGATGGAGGCCCTCCCCCAGGATTTGAGGAACCCAGAGGAGGACGGGGGTGAGGAGAGTGACCGACAAACTCCTGAGACCTGAAATCTTGTCCCTGTGCTGGGAGGACTGGCAGGACCTTGGATCAAGCCCAGAGGGGCCGGGAACAGGGACAGTCAGGTGCGCTCCTGCCCCGTGGGAGGCTTGCCGAGGGACTCCTTTCAATACACATTCCTTCAGGTTTTAATTCTTTTGCTGAGGTGTGCTGTTTGTACAGTGAAGGGAGCCAGGATGTCGGCTTCCATGTGCAGAGAACAGTTTGACCTGCATTCACTCCCATCTGGGGCACTGGGCCACCCCGGGGCCAGGCCTCGACTCCAGCTTCCCGGGGGCGCGGCCCCGCGTGCTCACCTGCCCCTGCTCTGCCAGCGTCTTCTCCAGGTCCTCTATCCGCGTCTGCGCCCTCTGCACGTCTGCCTGTAGCTGCTCACGGGTCTGTAGGATGGGAGGAGACATACATCAAATTTTCTCTAAAAGCTGGGACACACCATTCTGACGGCGGCTTTCGGAGGGCTGTCTGCCTTTTGGTTCAGCCCGTGGAGAAGCGGCTGCTCTGCAGGGAGTGCTCTGCGATAAAGCCAGAATGCTGAAACATGTGACCTCCTTAGACTACAGGGACAATCTATAGGTTCATTTGGAGAGATTATTAGGGACAACCGTCGTCCACAGGATGAACAAGGATGACTGAACTGCTGGGTGCTGGCCAGAGGGGCTTGCTTTGGTCTCCCAACAGTGACCGCAGCTCGCAGCCAGGCCCCTGAGCGACCTGGCCGCACAGCCCGCAGGCACCTTCCCTCCCTGCACAGCATCTCTGCATCTCCTTTCCCGCTTTTGCGTTCACCGTGTCCCCAGAGCCTGTCCCTCGTTTAGACCAGCCTTGGCACCCTGCTGCATGGAAGCCCCCCGCCCAGCACCACCTGGCTTCTAGGGGGTCCCAGCCGCCCTCCCGGAGTTGATTTGCTCTCACGGGGTCCAAGCCGCAGGTGCTCCTGCTCCCCCAGGAACAGCTCCCAGGGCAAACAGAAGAGAGTGTTTGGGCCAGCAGGGCTCAGGGTGTGGGGGTGCCCCAATTCGGGGAGGGCAGGGCTCCCCCCACTGGCCCTGGGCCCACCTGCAGCCCCTTCCCAATCAGTGCCCGTCCGCCACCCTGGTGAGCATCCCCGGCCGGCTGAGGGCAGGAGAGTAGGGCTGGGCCAGAGGGCGCACGGCTTGCGTGTCCCTGCCGAGGCCAGGGTCAAGCGGGGGGAGCCCAGCGGGAGCCGGAGCGTCGTGGCGTGGAAGTCAGTTAGACCTTAACTTCTCGCTCTGCGTCCAGCGTCCCTCCGACCTGCTCCTGCAGCAAGGCGTAGGCCCGCTGCAGCGCCTGGTACTCCATGGTCAGCTGCCGGAACCTCAGCTCCGTCTCCTCCTTGGCCATGCCCTGGAAGGTGCGCCGAGACACAGCGTGAGCCAGGCCCTGGCCTGGGGAACCGCGGAGGTGAGCCCTGAGCCTGGGGTCAAAGGCCGAGCTGGCTGCATCTCACAGGCCAGTGGCCAAAGCCAGCGTCTCTGTTGGAGCCCACCTGCCAGCCAGGCTGCCCTGACCTGGGGACCCTCCATCCCTGACCAGGCTCTCTGGAGGCTCCACTCTGCCCACATGGGTCGGGAAGGTGAGCGGTCCCTGTGAAAGGCTTAAAGCTGGGGGTGGACACACTTCCTCCCCGCCCCACCTCACTTGTCAGGCTCCCTTCCCGCACAGGGACCCCCAAGGCCTCCCCCTGGCTGTGACGACACCTGCTGCCCAGGGAGAAGGCGGGGGGCTGCTGACTGTCAGAGCAGCTGAGGGGGCTGCTGCTCAGAGGAGAGCAAGCCATGTCCAGGAGTGACCAAGGGGTAGCCCTGCCCTGGCCCCAGCTCCCCGGCCCTGTCCTTCCTGGCAGCAGGGGTGCTACCACATCTTGGGTCACCAGACAGGCCCTGCCAGGGCCTCTGCGTGCCCCTGGGCCTGGTCAGGGCCATGGACCATCGGCCCCTCCTTATCCTCCACCCACGGAGGCTGGGCCAGTGTCCTTCTGGAAGCAGGGAGTAGGGGTGGGACACCCACCTCTCCAACCAGACGCACCACTTGGCTGCACCCTTGGCACTGGTGCCGGCCCCCCTACTGGGTGGTTCGGACTCCCCTTTGATGGGGCAAGAGCTCTCCTTCCTGCTCTACAGAGGGGACAGGGCACGCAGCGGGGGTGAAGCAGAGGGGGTGAGTGAGGAGGAAGGGGGCACCAACAGACAGGCAGCCAGCAGGGGGCGCGTTTCTCAGAGCGCAGAACTGTGGATGACTGGGGGTCACAGCCAGCGAGGCGCCCCCCCAGGGAGCAGGCCTCTGAGCATGACCCCGCCGCCCACAGGCCGGCCTGGAGGCTGCTGGGGCAGTCACCTCCTCCAGGTCGTCGTCGGGGGTGCACGGGGTCTGGTCCGTCCTGTCCGTTTGGTAAGAGATGGACGAGCCGTCAGACTCCAGGGAGGCCTCTTCATCGTAGCCAAAGGCGGTCTCCACGAGCACCGGCTTCTGGGCAGGAGGGACTGAGTCAGTCCGGGCCCCACCCAGCCCTGCAGCCGGGCCTACGGGCTCCCTAGGGGCCTCCCTGCTCCCTGCAGTCCCGGCCCTGGACCCTCACCGCCCCGGGGTGCTGCCCTAACCGGGAGGTCTGCGGAGGGCGAGGTGGAGAGGGGGAGGGCACGTCCTGCGTTCCCTGGGGCAGGCCCCAAGGGTCCGTCCTGCACGGGATGGGAAGGCTCGGGGTGGACGCGCAGCACAGGCCCAGCCTGCAGCGCTTCACGCTTTTCTAGTAATTCATTTTTGTTGTGTTTAGGAAAGGGTCAGTCCTTGACAGATTGGAATAAAAATAAAAACAAGCAAAAGCAAGTCCTTCACCAGCTAGTCTGAGAGGCCCTGCCCGGGGGGCACCGCGAGCCCAGGGGGACACCTCCAAGGCTCCCCTCTGCCTCCGGCGACCCCAGGCCCCTCCTCAGCTCCTCCCCTGGCCCCCCTCTGCCGCTCTCCCCGTCTCCCCTCACTCCGCTGCCTTCCAAAGCCTTAGGTTTCCTCACCTAGTTTTAGTGATAGCACAGGACGCAGGCTCCACCTCCTCTCAGTCATGCTCAGGGCCCCTCCCTTCCCCTGGCAACTCCGTGAGTCTGCCTCCAGGTCTCCCTGCTGGTTGCTGAGCCAGAACCTTCCAGCGAAACTCCTCCCTGGGCTTCCCAGGACCCCCTGCTGCCCCACAGACCGCAGCTGGTGTTCCCCATCCCAGTGCCCGGCTGCACAGCAGAGGGGACCCAGGGTTGTCTGACCCCTCCCCAGACATCCCACGCCCCCAGCCTCCCCTGCTCCCCGTGACAGCCTGCTGGAGTGCAGAGGGTACTTGTGCCGACCGCCTGCCGAGAAGAGCCCTGGCCTCTCCCCACCGTGCTGCCCTGGACCTCCAACCCCTCTCCAGCCATCTCCACTGAAACGTCCAGAAAATGGGCAAACTTAGCAAGCGCAGACCCAGCCCTCCTGTCACCTCTGGTCTGGGACCGCCCAGCCTGCGGCCGCACCAGCCAGCCAGCCTCCCCCGTCACCTGTGCCTGACCACTGCTCTCTCCACATCCCCCCCGTCTGTCTCCCCGACTCCCCCCCGAGCTCCAAGCCCAGAGGTCAGGCTGCCTCCTGGCCCTCCTCCTACCGCAACCCTGTCGGGCCCCTTGGCGTTCCAGCTCGTCCACGCTCACCGGCCACCGCGGCCGGCCGGAGTGCACCGTGACCGAGGCTCCAGGCCTCCTGGGCCAACATCCGATCCTGGGTCCCCGAGCCCGTCCTGCTCACTGGTGGCTCCTGCCCCTTGTCCCCACTCTCCTGGCTTCTGCCTCCCCCCATCTCAGGGAAGCGCCCGGACATCGGGGCTCCTCCAGCCGCTGGCCCACTCTTAGAACTGGGCTGTCGGGCCTCAGACAATCTCTAACACCCTCAGTAATCCTGAAGAACAAGGCCCAACAGCCTCCTCCCACGGCCGCCTCAGGGGCCAGACTAGCCCGTATCTGTGCTTAAGGAATACTGACCAGCCTGTGCGAGGACCACCAAAACCAGACAGAAACCCCACACGCTTCCCACAAAGCAGGACGCGAGCTAGGTCCCCGGTCTCCTTTAACAGAAACACCGCTTTACCAAAAAGGGCTGTGTTGCAAAGAGACCACCGCAGGCCTTCACTTTCCCGGGGGTCGCTGGGGAGGCACTGCCCCGCAGGAGCGGCCAGGATGCTGGGGAGGCCGGGGGTCCGCAGCTAACGCCTCATATTTTTTAATTTGATTCTTTTTGGAGGGGGAGGCCATGAGGTCTATTTATTTATTTATCATTAGCTTTTTTTTTGAGTGGAGGTACTGGGGATTGAACCCAGGACCTCGTGCGCGCCAAGCGTGAGCTGTGCCTCCCCCACGCCCCACTCCTGTCGTGAATCCCTAACTGCCCTTAGAAATCGAAAGGAAACAAGGGTGGGTTTTTAGATTAAACGACACAAAGAACACTAACTTTGGGTCCTGTTTCGATTATTTTCCAATAACAATTTTTAGAAAGAATGAAATCATTTTCTTTTCTTTCTGAAGGAAGAGGTTTGTTGCTGTTACGAGGCTTTAAAAACACATGTTTCCTGCACGCCAGTGCTTTCTCGCGTACCTTGGGGAGTTTCGCCATTTTCTTTCTTTGTTTCCGCAATCTTAAAAGCTTATCACGCTCCTGCAAGAACCAGTTGAGGAGATTTTCTGAGTAGTTGAACAGCTCCGTCAGCTTCACACACACAGGTTACTGCTCCTGCGCCGTTATCTGAATGCCTGAGGGTGACTGTGGGACTGGCCTGTCGCCTGTGTCATCGGGCCTGCTCAGGGCGCTTTGCTCTGAGGGTCTGGGCGGCGCCTCCTTCCTGTTTGGGCTGGAAGCAGCACTGGCACATCTGGGTGGCCCTGAGCTCACCACGCCCAGGGGTCCCGCAGTCTGGGGTCAGGGTCCCGCGGGGGCAGGGGTTGAGTGGCACACACAAATGGAAATTCGAGAAGGTCGGAGCAGACGTCTGCAGAACGGCGTCCACATGATAAAGATGGACCCGTGAGTGTGTGAGGAGACAGCTGACCCGGTTCTCTCCAGGGAGCTGGGCTGCACGGTGGGACCATGCGGGGACCAGCCAGGCCCCGCCGGGGTCCACGCTGGGGTCGGAGTAACCCCCGGGGTGAGTGCCCCAGGGCGGGGGTGGGGCCAGCTCGGAACAACCAGCAGAGCGGGCTCAGGCTCCTGCAGGCATCACCGAAGGCCAGCTGGCACGTTCACCGCTCCCCTTGCATCTGCGTGACCCTAACTAACCGGTGAGCATTCTCGGGCACCACAGCGAAGCCTCTGGGCAGCAGCACTGTGATCCCAAAATCCACCCGGAGTGCAGCTGGCCGCTTCTGTCTGGACTGGAAGGAACCCGGGGTGCCGGAGGGCCAGCAGGAGGGCCCCGGAAAGTGGGTGCGGATGTGGGGCAGGGTGCTGAGTGGTACTTACTAACACGCTCTTCACGTAGCCGGCCGTCTCCAGGGTCTGGGAACAGAGAAGGCAGGTTGGCGAGTGGACAGCGCAGGCCTCGTCCAGGGAGCCCCAGAGCCCGCCTGCGGCCTCCCCGCTTCCCAAAGCAGAACCTCCTCGCTCTCCCTGCCCCCTGCCCTGAGGGGGAGGGTCTTACTTGGCCCTGGTGGTCCTTCCTCCCTCCCTCCGCTGACTCCCCCAGGGGCCCCGCAAACCTGCAGGAGCCTGGGGTGAATGTGGGGTGTTTCCTTTCCCTAGCGCCTCATGCATTCCACGTGCCACACAGGTGACAAGAGCGCCCCTGCTGTCCTGCCTGCTGCCCCCACCCCTAGGGGCACAGAATGACCAAGGCAGCTGGTTCTGAACTGATCTGACGGTGGAATCAGTCGGGGTCCCCAGAAGAAGCAGAAAGTGCCCTTACGAGGTAACTGGAGGAGGGCCTGAGGAAGGACCACTGGGAAAGCTGCGCTGGGGGTGGTGTGGGGGCCATGGGGAGGAAGGGGCGATGTAGACCCCCATCCCGACCCCCAGAACCTGGGACTGTGTCCTGATTGGAAATAGGGTCTTTGCAGGTGTGATTAAGCTCATCTTGAGATGAGACCACCCTGGACCAGGTGGGCGAGCGTCCAGGGAAGGGGGGGCGCCCTGCAAGGACAGGGGGAGATCCAAGGGCGGCCGCGTGACCACTGGAAGCTTCCCCGGGGCAAAGTGTAGCCCGGGAGTGCCTTGACTTCGGACCCCGCCTCCAGGGCTGGGAGTGGCCCACTGCTCTGTTCGGGCTGACTCGGGGTACTGCTGCGCTCGGGGCCCTGGGCCAGAGCAGTGAAGAAGCAGGTTTCCCAGAGGGCCACCTGGAGCCCGACCACGGGGGAGGGCCCAGGGGGACAACCGCTGGCCCTTCATCTCCCTCGGACCCCAGGTGGGTGCCAGGGCTGAGGGCGGACCCGTGGGCAGCAGGCGGGGAGGGTGGGACCGCGGCCGGCGGGCGAGGGTCGCCGCCCGGGTCACCTTAGAGAGTTCATCTATGAGGTTCTGCTGCTCCACGATCTGGAGTTTCAAGAAGTCAACTTCTCTTTCATCCTGACTTTGATCCAGGTCGTTTAAGGAACTGGGTCTCCTTATGATTCCAGCTCTTTGTCTCTGAAAAACCAACCAGACCACAGGACAAGAGGAGTGAAGTGGTCCGACCTGCAGGGGGGCAGCTGGGGGTCTTCGTGCTGGTCACCCCTGGGCTGTGGGCCAGGGGCCTCTCTGCACAGGCTGGGCACCGGCCAAACCAAGGCCTGTGCCCTGACCGGCCCCTCGGGGCACAGCTGTGCAGCCTGGCCTGGGCGCACACAGAGCAAAGCCTGCGGCCCCTCGACGAGCCTGTGCGAGCTGCCCTGTCCAGACGCTGAGCGGGACAGGAAGAGGATTTCTGCAGAGAAGGGCTTCCCGCCTCCCCACACGCTGCTAAATGATTTTGGCTAAACTCTCGGGGCCAGAAGGAACGCACGAGGAACCAGCTAATCACCCGCTCCCACCTTGTGGCTGCGGCTGGAGCAGAACCTCCCAGCCCAGGTGGGGTCTGGCCCGCGCCCATGCCCACCTGCTCACTCCTTCCCCTTCACGGCAGAAGGTTTTCAGAGTTGGAAGACCACGCATCCAAGCCCCGGGTGTTGGACAGGCAACCAGTTCAGGGCTGACTTGCTCTGGGACCTCCTGGCGGGTTCTGCTCCCACAGGGTCACTCCCAGGGCAGGTGCCGGCGACCCCCTTCCCTCCAGTGCCAGACCCTCACCCCAGGCCTTCCCTCCCAGCAAGCCCCAGCCAACAACGCCTGCCTGCCCGTGAGACCAAAGGCTGGAGCAAGGCCCTGTCTGGAGGCCGGATCTGGTCAGCAAACCTCGGGGAGAAGCTGGTTACAGGAGTGCGTGAGCACCTGCCGGTGGCCCCTACCATCTCCATGTTCTCCTGCGTGACAAACTTTAACTTGTTTTCCATTCGACGTAGCGTGTGGGACAGATCTTCATTTTTGCGACTGAGGCGTTTGTTTTTATCCAGCAATGGCTTGTACTGACTTTCAGCTTCTCTTACACGCTTTAACTGAAAGACAGAGTTAAGGACACAGGGTGATTGGGTTAAAGTGTGACAGATCCAGCAGTCTCCCAAGGGAGGCAGAGCCTCAGGGGCTGCGAGGGGCAGCGGCCTGGGGCGGGCGCTCTTAGCCCGGCCGGCAACCCTTGGGGGCACCTAGGGAAGCTCACACGCAGGGCAGCACAGGGTCGCCGGGGAACCTCCGTGGCCATAATGACTAAGGGTGATGGCGCCACTGAGAAGCAAGGTCTTCACACGTCCCAGATGACATGCAGAACTGAGGATATTTTGCCCCAATAACACAAAGCAGGGATCAGCCAACCAGCGCCCGAGGCCCACAGCTGGCCCCCAAGCTGATTTTGTTAATAAAGCTTTATTGGAAGCAGCCAAGAGGCACACCTTTGACACCATCACTCCTCCTCTCCACGGGGCATGTTGGAAGGGGACACCCAGCTCCCCCTGCACTGCAGCCGTGGCCCCCAGGCCCCAGAAGCCCCGCCGCCCTCACCAGCTCATTTCTCTCCTCTGACAGCAAGGCATTGCGGTCCTCCAGCTTCCGAATGATGGCGCTAAGCTCTGCGATCTTAAGCTGGAAGCGCCGAGCATCCTTTTCATCCAACTGCTGTTCCTAAAACAAAAATCAACTGCAAATAACTGTGCGGAGACACAGACATAAGACTTTTGCCAATCCCCACACACCACAGAAACCAAAGCACTTGTGCGTCACGATCACCAGTGGTTCCGAGTGGCTGAGGGTGGGTGTGGACCCTCCTGGGGACAAGCGACTCCTGCCGTGAGGACAGGGGACACTGCAAACTGCATGACGGGGACAGAACAGAGGAGCAGAAATGTCCAGAAGCGTACAGATGTGAAGGGAGAGGACGTGCAGATGTGGAGGGCGGAGACACGCAGCGGCAGGTGCCCCAGGTGCGAGTGATGCCGAGAAAACACTGGAAACCGGCACCCGGCTGCCAGCGGGCCACTGCCGGCTGCATCTCCCAGGAAGGGGCCTGCCCTGCACTGCAGGTGTGGGCGTGGCTTTCCCAGCATTATAATCTGAGCACAGGAAAAGACGTCCAACTTAAGATTTTCGAAACTTGGTTTCCCAAGAAGAGTGGTCCCTTAAATTGAGTTTCTAAGAGGTCACTTTGGGAGCCACTGAAACTCCATTCAAAAAGAAACCAATGAAAACATTTTGATCCTGTTTCAGAATCTCTCTGGAGTTAACGGAATCTATCGAGCACCACCAGAGCAGGGGCTGGTTTTAATTCAGTTAAGCCGTTTATAAGAAGATTATCAAATGTCGTGTTTTATTGAAATGTCACTGTCCTAGGGCTGGCTCAGCTCAAACATGGCTCTGTCCTCAAAGCAAACAGAGGTGTGTCCGGGAGGGACTGAGGAGCGGTTCCTCATTCAGCAGGTGCAGGAGAGGCGAGGGAGCAGCCCCCCAGCAGGACCGCATGGAGGGTCCCTGGAATTTAGATCCCCTCCCGGATTCCCGGAACCCCGCAGAGGGCTCTGAATGAGGAGCAGCCAAGAGGAAACGGGTAGTGTCACGCCCCCCCGCTGTCACGGCAGCTGGAGGCGCTGCAGGAAATGGCATGGTCACACGAAAAGCCCGTGGGCGGGCCACTGGTGGGGTGAGCAGCAGAAATCACTGCGGGAGGGCCAGAGCCGGAGAGGGGCGCGCAGGGGGCCTCCTTGGTCTGGAGGCAAAGCCCACGCATGTGCAGGTGGTGATGGGCAGCACAGGTTCATCTCCCACCGGCATGTACGGGGCCCTTAACCACCTGTGGGAGGCAGCGGCAGGTGTCACAGCAGGAAGCCTGAAGCCGCGGGGGCCCGAGGAAGGCGTTGGACTGAAGGCCAGTGCTGCGCTAGGTTAGCAAGGCAGGAAGGAGACAGGAGTCTCTGGGCCTCCTCAGCCGAGCCAGGGAAGCCGAGGGTCTGTCTGTCTGGCGGGCTGCAGACGTGGCCAGCACCCCCAGGGCAGGGGGCCCGGGCTCTGGACCCCCGGGGAGCCGCCTGCAGGGCCGCGAGCCGCGGGCGGCTGGCTGGGAGAAGGCGGGGGTGCTTACAGGGCTTCCCGAGTGGTCGGAGGCGTCTCCTGCACCGCTGGCCTGAGGAAGCTCCCGTCTGGGGCTGCCCGGGTGCCGACCCGTCTCTCTGCCCTGGGACAGCTGCTCATCTAGAGCCTCTTTTTGGAGCTGCAGTCTCTGAGCATGCCCGGCTTGGAGCCCTAACTCTCTCTCCAGCACGAAGACTGCTCTGTCTTTAAATTTTATCTCCTCCATCTACAAGGAGAACAGAACACAGTCACACAGGCAGGCAGGGCACAGATCTGCGGTTACCATAGAAACAGGCACAGTGACACTCGTGCACCAGCCTCCGGGGGCACCCAAGGGCGGCGGCCCTGCCACGACTCGGGCTCTGAGACCGGAAGCAAAGCAAGTCCCCCGGACGGAGCGCTGCGAGCCCATCGCCCTGAGACTGTCCGGTCGTGGCCGGCCTCTGGCTCAGGCGGCTCAGATCAAGCCGGCCAGCTGAGGACTCCCTCTGGGACACTGCACCCTGCCCCAGCCTCCCCAGACGCCCGGCCGGACCACCCTCCCCTGCGCTGGCCTGTGGGGGCTCCCCAGGACTGGCAGTGTCTGGCGGGGTCCAGAGAGGCCACCTCCACCCCTCGCCTTGTGCTGCACGTTAGGCAGAGCAGGGACTCCCCAAGCTTCCTGTGCCTCGTCAGCGGGAGGGTATGATGAGCGAGGTTCATGTTAGAACAGGCAGGTGTCAGCGTGTGAGGTAGCCCTGGGGACAAAAGCCCCTTCCATCTGCTCGGCGGGTGCTGGGCCTGGGAAGGCTGGACAGCGCATGGGGCCAACACCCTCATCCCGCACGCGCCTCTCCTGGCTCCGAGGTGTGCACAAAAAGCAGGGGTGCTGCCCAGCTGTTTGCAGCCAAAGCCACAGTTTTCATTAATCCTCCTTTGAGCTAAGACTTGGGTTGGGTGGGGGGGAGGGTCCCTGGACAAGCGGGCTCCAGACAGGAGGACAGGAGTGCCCAGTGCATCTGACCCCCGCGGGCTGGTGGCCCTGAGGGGTCCGCAGCCCTTTCCACTCTCCCTAAAGTGCTCACCCCTCTGACCACTGCCCCTGCCCCTGGGCCCCGCGTCCAGCTGCCCCAGGTGCGTCCTTGGCCAAAATGCAGGCCACCCGCTGCCCGTGGCGGAGAGGGAGGCGGAACGGACCCCATGCTGCCACTCATCCCTCAGACAGACAGACGGACTCAGGCGCTGTGGGGGTCATTACAGATGGCGCTAGATTTACAAGACTTGGTTTAAAACCTATTTTCAAACAGCAGAGCAGGCTAGGACATCTTGCTGCTTCACTAGCTGTGGAAGGTTCAAATAAGTTAATAAATCAGCCATCTGCTGAAGTCGGTGTGGAACAAAGAGTCTAATGTCTAATTAGCCCAGATCACAGAATTCCCAGGCTGGCAATGAACTGAACAGAGTAAAACCTTTCACTGCTACCTCCCCGTTGCCCGGGGCACCCAGAAATGCAGAAAGAGGCAACCCGGTCAGTCAGTGGAAACAGGGGCCGGTGAAAATGCAGCCATGTTAGCGAGCAGCTGCGTTCTCCGGTCTAACGTTTACACGCAGACACTCTAGAAACATCATTTTTCTTTCATCAGGAAATGTGAAAACAAGAGCTTCCACACAGTCCCGCTTAACCCCGCTGCTTAGGCAGATGGTCTGGGCCAGAGAGCAGACTCCCCGAGAAGCCACCGTGCACGTCATGTCTCGTGGCCAGGCCAGCCGAGGCACCCAGATGCAGGGCTCCGCAACCCGCCTGCAGAGGAAATCCGCGGACGGCCGCTCCCACGGGGCGCAGGCTCTGACTTCTGAAGACAGGAAACCCCCTCTAAGATCAGTGTGGTGCCCTGGGGGGGCCTCCTGAAGCCCCAGGTCCTGCGCACAGTGTCTCCCTTTCCCCGAGATGTCGCGAGTTCTCAGCCAAGGGCACGTACCTGCGCCTCCCAGTCCCTTGCTTTCGGCTCAGAAGGCCCGTTCATGAAGGAAGTGCGTGTGCAGGACAGGGACCCCCGAATGAGACGGAAACATGCTCTGCGCGTGAGCCCCCACCTCACGGGCGGCACATATTTAAACACGGGTAACAGGATGGCCAGCGAAACCCTAGAGGGCAGCATGGATTTGGGGGCTGCACCCTGCACCCGTGGCTCCCTCCCTGCAAGGTGGGTTAACACAAGGCTGTGAAGAGCTGCGCTGCTGCCCCTGGGTCCTGGCTCCCCATTCCCTCCGCGGGCTGTGGGGTCCTGGAGGGCAGCGCGGCAGACAGCAGGGGGTGCACTCTGTCCCCGCCTTACGTCACCACCCGTGCCCACACCCACACGACCCCGACACCCACACCCAGGTGACACACCCTACCCCCCAGAGCCCAGGATGGGGGTTTTCAAAGCTGACACAGAGTAAATTGGGACGAGCTGGTCACTGCTAGTCACCTTCCCTCACCGGGACCGCTGCAGTGGCTTCCACTGGCCTCCTGTGTCCACCTGTGCCTGCTACAACCTGTCCCTCGCAACCACAGAGCCACCTTAGAGAGCGAGAATCAGGGCTCATCCCTCCCACGGCTTCCCTGAGTACCAGGAGCAAGAGTCAGAATCCTCACCCGAGTCTGCCTGCTTCCACGGGAGCTGCCCGCCCTCACCCCACCCTACACCCTCCGGCACACTCCCCCACCCCCACCCCCGCTGTGCAGCAGAATCACGGGGCCCCAACAACGGGCCCGGCCTCACCAGGGAGGCCCCCATCCCGCAGTCAGTCCGGCACAGGGCGGTCCCATGTGACCGGAACACTTTGCTTCCCCAGGCCCCTCCCCTCGGAGCCAGGCCCCTTCTCAGACCTGCCCCCAGGCCACTGCGTGGGGCTGCCTCGACCTTCTCCTCCACCCTCCGCTTCCCCCTTGCCACCCCCACCTTCTCCAAAGATGCCTCAGAGCTCCCACCTTGGGCCAAGGCTTCCCTCTCCCGGGTCGGCCACAGCAGCGTTCACGTCAGGTCTGCCCGCACAACAACTGGGCTGGGTGTCGTCCCTGAATCCACAGTCGGGCTTGGGGTCAGAGCCCTGCATCATGAGATTTAGGAGACTCTGGGCTAAGCAGGGGCGCCCCACGGAGAAAGGGCCAGGCTGCTGGGCCTGCAGGCGGGCGGGCGGCGGGAGCCGGCTCTCACTGCCCAGAGCTCCTGGGGCACCCGCTGCGAGCGGCCATCGGGCTGAGGCTTCTGGTGTGTTTTTCACTACTCGCTTTAAATGGCGCAAAAGCGGAACATGGATATATGCTGATGCACGTGGAAGCTGTTACGAGAGTAGATCCTAAGACTTCTTGCCGCAAGGAAAATTTTTATTCTTTTTCAGGGTTTTCTTTCTGCTGTATCTACATGAGGTGGCAGAAGCTAGTGATGCTCAGGGAGGAAATGATTCCACACGTGTGGAAGTCAAACCACAGCACTGTGCACTTCAGACTCACACAGCGATGAGTGTCAATCACATCCCAGTAAAACTTTACAGATTCTGAATTACGCTGGGCTCTGGCAACAGTGGACGGAGGGCGGAGGGGCGGCCCCCTGCGGGCCCGCCTCCATAGCGACACCTGGTGGGAGGGGCGGGAGGTGCAGGGGTGGAATGGGACCCCAGAGCCCATTCCCGCCCCCTGGGCCGGGGAGCCGTGGGGCTCTTGGAGGAGGGCGGTCTTGAAAGGTAAGTAAACTGGTCTTCTTGTTCTCAGGTGTGTGTATCTTCAGTGATATGCAAATACATACATGTGAAGTATATGCGTATATGTACACGCATATACATGGAATGATAACTAAAGGAGATTTCCCCAAATGATCATGGATTCTAAACGGAAAAACTGTGGAAGGCCCCGAAATAAGCGAAAAAAGGAGTCTGGCCCCTCTCCTAGTTCCTGAGGGCTGTCTGGCGCCCAGAGCCGTGTGCCTCCATCCTCGACCAGACTGTCCTGCGCCTCTGATGTTCACCTGGGAAAACTGCCAGCCGTGCAGATGCTTCCCGTCCACAGACGTACAA